TTCCTTCTCGAGTAGTCCAATTGTCTAGATACTCAAGTTCTTCCTTTCGAGGAAGGCCTTGGTAGTGTTGATTTTAACCCGACTTCTTGAAGTCTTTGGAAAAGGTCATCTAACTATTCAACGCGATCCGCCAGATCGACGTCAGTTAGGATGAGTTGATCATCAATTATGCACGGCATTTTCTAAGTCATGCATGCGTGTTTTCATCTTCCTTTGGAAGATGTCGGGACTATTACATAGGCCCATTGGCAACCTCTGGTACTCTGCTTTCCCCTCGGGAGTTCAATGGTACAGTGTTGCTTCGAGTGAGGTGACAGCTCGATGTGGTAGTGTCCCGTGTTCAGGTCTAGACTGTAGCGCACTTGAATCCACTGGTTCAAGAGCATGTCCTGTATTTTTGGGATAGGATAAGGCTTCCGTTTGATCTTTTGTTCGTTCCCGGAACTCAGAGATGAATCGTACAGATCCCTCTTTCTTGGGAATGATAAAAGTTGGTGCCGCCCACCGGAACGATTCACCTTCTTGAGTCTCCTGCCTCGCAGAGACGTTCAACCTCCTTTCTTAAGAGTGTTGGTATGGACCCGTGGAGTAGGGTGAGCCCTAGTATAATAGGATTTAGCGTCGGGACGAAGTTCTACTTCGTAGTCGTCCATTCGCAACTCTCCAAAGTATCCTCGACTGGGCCGAACACTTGGTTGAAAAGGCATGAGGCAGTTCTGCTCTTCCTTATTTAACTGGTTTCGACTCTGGCACATCTGCCTTAAGTCAGCTTGTTCGTATGTCGTATCAAGAATCTTCTTGAGACTATTGCATTGTCGCGAACAGCTGCAGGATCGGGAAAGGAGAAGTTCTTCTTTTTATTGTTATTGCCATCTTGCGCAGGGAAAAATACGCTGTTCCACTCCAATGACATGGTAGTGAAATCAAACTTGATTCTTAGGTCGAAGAGAGTGTCTTGACCCATGATCATGTCTTGCGCCCCCAAGTTCTTTGGTGCGTGCAAATTCCATTCAATAATTTTATCGTGGAACTCAGGAATCAAGGTGCGATGTGTGCATCTTCCTTTTTTTTCCAACCCTTAACTAAAAAGATAATAGATGCGATCCAACTATCGCTCTTCCGACCAACAGGAAGGAACTTCGTAGATTCATTGGACCAATGAACTACCAAGGGCTGCTCCAAGACAGCAGACGGAGTAACCATCGTTCTGAAACAGACGTAGGTTACCCAGTATCCATGACCCGTTGTCATGGACAGAGAACGTGAGTCCCGCGCAGAGGTCGAGAAGACTCTCCGGGATGAACGTGGACTTCGTCGCAAGTTCACGCGCGTCAATCGTGACAAGATTCACCACATCCGTTTCAAAGCAAACCGGAAATACATTAAGGAACGTCGCCAACGACTTATCCAGAAAAACACCGATAAGGAGAACACGACACGTGTCCCTCATCAACACCATGTCAACGATACTATGACGATTCATCAGTATCAGAACCGTTAGTACGGTCAGCCAAAGGTCCTTACCACACAGACCGAGTCAATAACAATGGCACTGTACGGCTCCGACATACTACCGCCAGTAGCGGCACAGTCTACCAGACTTGGAACATAAGGTATTTACACCCATACAAGGCCTGATCCCCTTGTAGGATTGCCATCGTGCGACGCACATGTCTACATCCAATCTCCGGAGAGTGCCCCGCACTTTAATTCATATGTTCTCCTTGTCCGACTGATGTCGTGCTTTCCGTGACCCTTGTCAGGGGGCGAATGCAATACACGGCTCTTAGCCTTATTCGCGACTCGATCCTAGATAGGGTTTGAGTTCGACTCATGACTGAGTCTCTCGTGAATAGTCATTGAGACAGGGTTCTCAATGACCGCTCTAGTCATACTAGGTTGATGATGAAACATCGCTCTAGATATTTAGCCAGCGTGGAGTACTTCCACGCTACAGGCAGCTTCGTTTCTATTGATTCAAACGCGAGCCGAGCTTCTTCGTACATTTCTACACGAGCACTCGTAGAAGTGTACCAGAAAAGCCAGAAAAATCGAAGCTGCTCGTACTAGATAAATGCTAGACGAATCTTCCACGCGTTCCGTTTTTGGATCGTGGAGTGAGTAGGATCGCTACCGCAACCTACTCTATCACACTCTACAGTCTCCCGCGGGAGTTCAGATCTACGATCCTTTGATTGTGGATCTCTCTCGTTGATTCGTTTTCATAGCTTTCTAATCCTCTCATAACTTTCATTCTCTCAAACTCAAAACACTCGAGAGATCTTTACACTAGCTTTTAGCGTAGTGCAGATTGTTAAATTGTGAGCTACTTTTATTGCATTTACTATGTTGGCTAGATAGTTCTGCTTCTCCAAAATCAGTTACAAACTGTTGCACTGCCCAACTCTATTGGTGGTTCTGTAACTAAGGAGAGAGCCAGTGCACTGGTAGGCATGCTGTCTACATAGATTGTTGAGTAGGGTGGGCCAGAATGGTGTCAATAATCTCACACCAGACCACCCGATGTCAAGGCAAAATATGTCTGTATGAGGTGCAACAAGGAAGAACCTGACGGCGAGAGATTTGAGCAGTGCCCTCGGTGTCATGATGAAGGATTTGTGCCTGTAGTCTTCTGCTCACAGAAGTGCTTTAAGAAATCTTGGTCAGAGCACAAAAAGTGGCACGAAGAAGAGGCACCAAAAAGGAAGAACCTCATCAAAAGTACTCTTCAGGTGTACACTGCATCTAAGGGCTATTACGTCTGGGCAATCAGATCGGATTATGATGAAAGGATTGCAGCAGCACTGAAGAAAATTGAAATCTGTGATATTGCAGGTGCCAAAAAGATACTCCGGGAAGCACTGAAACTAGATACCAGACGACCAGAGGCCTTTCATCAACTTGCTGGATGTTTCGATGTATCCTCAAGGGACAGTGAAGCCATCGAAAACTCTGCGGAAGCGTGCAAACGTTGGGCGTATGCAACATTAACAGGCAAGCTTGGCGATATCAATGTATGCAAAAGCGTGACAATTGACGGGTGGGCAAACAGCACCTTCTTCCTTGCTGACAAGTTTGCGAGGGACAATGGGCTTAAAAAGCCAAGCTGGTGGCAACAAGATGGAATGTTGACACTTGCAGCAATCTTAGATGATGAACAGACAGCCCCAGTCACCATTTTTACAATGAGATACATTAGGGCATGGGCACTCTCTGGTATTATCAGTCAGGGGTTTTCTCAAGCTTACATGAAATTCGAGCTCGCAGTTCCTAAGGACCGTACTCCTGAAGAGCTCATGGAAGCATCACAACAATTCAGGCTTTTGTCAGAAAGCAGTGACAGTGAAACTGTTGAAACTATTGATAGATCCGGATTACAGTCATACTCTGAATTCATGATGAAGATGGCACTAATCCGACAATCTCAGGTGCAAGAAAATTGCACCAAGACGCCAAAGATGCACATACCTGGGTTGTGGATGATCATCCACGGCCTCACTAGCCCTTCAGGAGCCACAATGAACAACAAAATTGGCCATGTCTGCATGGATGGGTTGGAAGAGGGCCGAGTTGCTGTGACAGTGGATGGAATTAGCGCACCAAAGAGAATTCGGCCATCAAATCTATGGAAAGTCCCATTTTCTGAGGCAGATGTGGCTCTCATTTCTTGTCTAGAGGAAGTTGACCGGTGGGAATATGTCAGAGCCTCGAAAGAAGCAAGTCTTGCGCATTCCATGGCTGGAAAGAGATGACCAGTGATCGGATGAGACATGTAACTTCCTGACTGCTGTTTCCGAGGCTCTAAGAAGCCGAAGAATGTTTAGGTTTAAAACCAGAATTGAATCCATGGTAGAATTTAATGGTGTGCTGATAGTTTCTTGTGCGCGATTCTGATCACATTTTGAATGCTTCTGCCGGGGATTGGAAGAAGTGTCCATGTCCATGAGTAGAGCGTAGTGTACCCGTACCGGTAACGGAGTGCAACTTCTAGCTAGCTAGTAGTGCGCCGTGCCATTCATATCCATTCATGACGACTTTCAGTTGCCCTGTGCATTACTGGTACAGTATTTGGTGCTTCTGGATTGCCGCACTCGTTATTGTAAGCCAGCCACCCGTACAATACCTATTCGGGTGGCCTCCTTCAAATTCTACTCCAGCACCGGTGCTCAAAACCTTCAAGCGCTGCAGCAGCCTCTGTGGCTGTGAAGACTTGATGCAGCAGTGCAATGATCGACTCGACCAGCTGAAGGATTGTAGTCTAGCGAAATTGGATATCTTTGTTCAGAAGAATTTAGAAAGGGAGAAAGCCCGAGATGCGTTTGTTTTATAGGACTGATAAACTGGCTGGTGTCACCATAGATACTACACTGTAGTGGATGTTTTGAGGATCGTCTAGCCACAGGATCTCCAGCTCCGTTCATTGCTCTGATCCTGGGGGAAATGTTGCTGATTTTGATCAGCTTGGTCAAAGTTTTTGTCTACATACTTTCCAATTGTCCTGGCTTGGTAAACAGTCTCAAAACAAAATTTATAATATGGACATCCAATATCTTGACCTGCTTTCTTGCCTCCCCAGTGGAACAGCTACCGAGGCGAGCTAAGGGTTACCCTGGGAATCACATCGTAGTTCATATGGCGCACGTAGTCCATGTCAGCTTCTGGTCCTCCTTGCTTTCAGTGCCTCCATTTTAGAAATCAGTCAAACCCCAGATCTTTCAAGAGTTTCTCTGTAACCTCCCAAAGCTGATCCGGAACGTCCTTCCCGGCTGCCTCCATTACCTTCTGCAAAGCCGTTTTGTCGGCTTGGCAGTTGTCGTGATATTCTCCATTGACAACCTTTTCAGGATCATTCGACGTGGCACACAACAGAGTGGTGGCAGCTCCCTGTGGGACGCTCTTGAAGAAAAAGGGCGCCACAACGGAAAATTGCAACCTGGTATACCAATCCACATGACCCTGGAGACCCGTAAAAATTCCTCCAGGCTGAACCGAGTACGCAGTCACATTGTCAATCTTGGTACTCAATGCTTTCGCATGCAGCAGGTTGGATGCCTTGGCGTTTCCGTAGGCAACCCATCCATCGTAAGGATCCGTTTCCAATTTGGGAGAGGAGAGGCACTTTTTGATGTCATGATTGGCATGACCGGAACTACTCAAACAGACAATCCGCCCCTGGGCCTTTTGGATGGCTGGTAGCAAGAGTTTGGTGAGGTAAAAGTGACCTACATGGCAGACACCAACCTGACTTTCCAATCCTTGCATGGTATCGGTTCGGGTGGGTAGCGCCATGATGCCGGCATTGTTGATTACAATGTCGATTGTATCCTGGGACGCCAACACAGTCTTGGCGCAATGCTTGACCGACTGCAAGTCACCCAAATCGCACGTGACAATATCAAGTTTGCAGGTGGACGGCAACTCGGCCAACAATTGCTTTTGCGTGGCTGCCAACTTTGTTGGATTGCGAGCGGCCAGGTACACATGCGCTCCTCGCAATGCCAAGACTCGTGCCGTTTCGACGCCAATACCCGAAGTAGCGCCAGTGACCAAGGCAACCTTGCCGGTGAGATCCACAGTTTCCGTCACGGCTTCACCAGTGGGAAAGGTCCTCGATGGTGCTCGAATATATGCCAGACCCACCAAGCTCCCGAACACGGCCGTCGCCGTCAGTGCATGGCCCTTGGCGCAGGCAACTGCCCACCCAGCGACACTGGCACCCGCCACTCCGGTAATGATGTCCAAGGGACCAATCGATCGTCCCATTGTGCTATTGTGCTTGCTTCTATATTATGGGTAACAGTAGCAACGGCCTTCGCTGGCAATTGAGTCTGCGAGCTTTCTCTACTGAATTACTCAATGAAGTCAATCTTTCTCTCTACTAGCTAGCTAGCTAGCTCTGCTGCTCCTTTGAACAACAAACTCCAGCAACAAGAAGGAGAGGAAGTCTGTACTCCTTTGAACAACAAACTCCAGCAACAAGAAGGAGAATCTGAGAAGGGCAAGTGTGGAGAGCATCTGCAAGTAAGTTCTTTGCGATTGGATCTTTTGAATGGATCTTTTGAATTTAAGCCTGTAGAAATGCGATGCACTGCTCGCACCCCAGTTCCAGGAACATCTCAGAGAACCAAACACTTCCTTTCCCATTTCGCAAACATCAACGCTGAGTCAGCGTCCGTGGCATATCACGGATACTTCCCATCGTGAGTCAGTCAAGCAAAGCATTGTTGCTGTTGCTTGACTAAGTACTTGTAGCGGTATGATGTTTCGATACCACCTGCACCAACATCACACAATGCCAATTGCTTCGTTGCTTGCTTCCATCAGCAACCCAGTCTGATACAGGCGGAAGTGAAGCCACCTTCTAAAGAACGATTGAGAGGAACACAGTTACGATTCTCTCGTTTCTCAATGATATCACAGTTCGCTACTTTGGTGCCAATTTCGTTGATTGCCATCTCCTTCCTTTTACTCTTTAGCCCGGTCCACAGCCTTTCCACCGACATCCCATACGCCACCATGACGACTTCTACTAATGCTAATGCTGCTTCAAAGGGAGGAAAGTCATTGGTCTTTCATTGGTTCCGATTGGGCGACATGCGCCTTCACGACAATCCGGCGCTCCAAAAGAGTATCCTGCAGGCAGGCAACAACAAGAATATTGTTCCGGTGTTCTGTTTTGATCCCCGTATCTTTGGAAATGGGGCTCGAAGCAGAATCAATAACGAACTCAAATGTGGTCCGAAGCGAGCCCAATTTGTATTGGAATCCGTGGCAGATTTACGACGTAATTTGGAACGCAAAGGATCCGGATTGCTGGTGGCTCACGCCAAGCCAGAAGACTTTTTGGATCAGCTCTTTCAACAACTTGGAGGAGATGATGCCGTGACCAATGGGAAAGTCATTTGTCAGGAAGAAGTTTGTAGCGAAGAACAGGATGTTGTCAAGGCTGTGGATACTGCCCTTCGAAAGCGATGTGCTTCCAGTTTGCCTTTGGTGGAGACTGTTTGGGGATCTACACTCTACAATATTGAAGATTTGCCGTACCAAACTGGCCTGGCAGATCTTCCTGATTCGGTAAGAAATGATATTTGCGAGCCAGATGGCACGTGGTGTACTGACTGTTGGAGGTTCCAGCTCATCACGTCATGCTTGACTGTTCATTTCAATGACCTCTCACCACTACCGCCATGCAGTTCACCCCATTCCGAAACAAGGTGGAGAAGAAATGTGAAATCCAAACCCCATTTGCAGCTCCCAACAGCATGAAACTTCCATTTGCAGTCGACAGTCCGCAAGGCAAAGCGCTCCAGCCTCATTTGTCCTACATGCCAACACTCCAGGATCTAGGATACACCTCGGAGCAAATGGAAGAAGCCAAACACAAATCCATTGGCAACTTGGAATTCGTCGGTGGAGAGACAGCTGCTTTGGCCCGCGTCGAAAACTACATTTGGACCCAAGATCGACTCCAAATCTACTTTGACACTCGCAATGGAATGCTGGGCGACGACTACTCGTCCAAGTTGGCTCCCTGGTTGGCACACGGCAACGTGTCTCCTCGGTTCATTGCCAAGGAGTGCAAACGATACGAACAGGAGCGAGTTGAGAACAAATCCACCTATTGGCTTGTATTTGAACTGCTTTGGCGGGACTTTTTCAAGTTCTTTGCCCTCAAGCATGGGACCTCGCTCTTCTTTCCTGGTGGAACGGTGGGAAACGACAAAAAGTGGCATCATTACGAGAAGAATCTGCAGGCTTGGAAAGAGGGAAAGACGGGATTTCCATTAGTAGACGCCAATATGCGAGAGCTTGCTGCCTCGGGGTTCATGTCCAACAGGGGGCGGCAAAATGTCTGCTCCTTCTTGGCGTTGGAACTGAATCAGGATTGGCGATACGGAGCCGAGTACTTTGAAAACATTCTAGTTGATTACGACGTGTACTCCAATTGGGGCAATTGGGCCTCTGGGGCTGGCATGACAGGAGGCCGTCTCAATCGATTCAATATTGTCAAACAAAGCAAAGACTACGATCAGCGCGGTGACTACGTCCGCCACTGGCTACCTGAACTGAAAAACGTACCCATAAAGTTTGTGCACGAGCCATGGAAAATGACGCAGTTTCAGCAAATGGAATACGGCTGCAAACTTGGAGTGGACTATCCCAATCCCATTGCCAAACCCTACTACCCACAAGGTGGAGGCAAAGGAGGCAACAACAAAAACGGTGCCCACAAGGGACGAGGAAACAACAATCGGAACAAGCCCAATCCCAATCGGGGGCGAGGTCAGAAACAAGACATGAAGAGCTTGAAAGAAGGAAAGATCCACATGAAGTAGACTGCTGGTTTCTGCAACCGCCGACTATAATATTATATATATAAGGAATCTCCTGAGTGGACCATCAACTCATAGTCTTGCAGCATTCTGTGCACTTAGGATACTACTCATGGATAAGTGTAGGTTGGTTGAAAAGACATTCGCTTTGACCGTGTGTCTCACATGGTGGTCTTCACCTCTGACCATGTAAGCATTGCTGCGTTTCTCATTCTTGACCCTCACAGGAAGTGGCAAGCCACGCCTTAAGCAGGAAGCTGCCTTATCTCGTTCTTGGCTCGGCTGCATACGGTACTGGTAGTGTTCTGGGAATGCTGCAGTGTACGCACACGGCCAACAAAGGGTTCTTGCAATAACTTCTAGCTAGTGGGTTATTTGTATTTCAAGAGCCGAGACGTTTGTCTTCCGGCATCGCCGCATCCAAACGCAGCTTCCAGGAAAGGGATTCGTTTGTTTTCTAACCAACAAGTCTTCACCGCATGTCTTATGATTAGCCACATTCGATGATAGAAGCTGGCTCTTCCTTTGCCCCCAGTTGCCTCCTTCAGCAGTGAGTGGCCCACCTATGTTATCATGGGTCCGACCACAATGCTCTTGTCGAGCTGCATGGGTACAATCTGACCCGCAGTGTCCTGCAAGTTTTTACGAAGCTCCAAAAGACGTTTGGTCTTACCGGTAGCACTTGTTGTGTCAGTGGTTTCGAGCTTGCTGGCAATACCTGTAGCAAGGCCAGAATACTTGCTCTTCGTTCCATTTCCACTGGCCTGGATTTTGGAGCAACCAATGTGACAGTTGCCACTGAGGGATTTTCTCCTCAGAGGTGCCGGCCGCTGGTCCAACGAGTGGTCCAGGTCCTCAGCTGACACGTCCAACACTGATGGTGCTGACGATGATCGCCTCTTCAGTTTGGGCGCACCAAGAAGCAGCCCCCGCTCTGAAGACCGCCGCTGCTGAACATTCGTGCTTGTTTGAGTTCGATGAATTCTTGTCCTGCTCGTACTCCTTCGACGACGCGATTCCAAAACGCTTCGCCTTATGGAAGAGCGCCGGCTTCCTCTGCCGCTCCCATTGCGTTTGGTGGAACTAATCTTGGAGCCATCACGTCTCTGCTTGCCTCTGTCACTGGGAGTGGAGGAGGACTGGGTTCTCTCGTGAGTGCTCTTTGCATGGCCCGACTCAGAGAGCTCCCTCCAGTCGAAGGCAGCCATCAAAGTTTTCATGTTGACCTTATCTGACTGCATCTTTTGCATGGTCTCGCCATTTGTGTCAATGTGTGACCCGGAGTTTCTTCGCTGTCGCCGACGATAGCTTGGTGTGTCAGCACGTGCATCAGATAGATTATCGGTGTAGCGGGCTAAGGAATTTGGAGCTGTCGAACTCCTGCTGAAAGGAGGGCTGATATTCTCTTCCGATTTATCCATGTTAAGGCAACCACTTGATATCTGCCGTTGCAAGGCATGCACAGTCCTGTGCTTCATAATAGATCTCCTCCTAGTAGGCCTCCAATTTGCAGGGGTGCTCAAAGTTGCATTCTTGCTGAGGCCAGCCTCGTTATTGTCAGCTTCATTTCCTCTAAGTCCTACCGGTATGATGGCATCCATGTTGTTGTCAACATTACTTTCATTCAAAGTAGTAGCAAGCTCCATCAGCTCTTTGCGAGGCTTGCTCTGGCCAAGTGAGCTTCGTCTTCTTGATCTTGTGGGTGTGCTACCAGCATCAACCCTTCTATCAATCTGGCAAAAGGAAAAGGAAACCCTTCGGTTGATATCTCGGCACGAACCACTGCGTTTCATGATGGGTTTGGTTTTTCGTTTTAAGATCTCATCAAGTGAACCATGGGACTTGCGGCGCTTTGGTTCTCTTGTGCGGGGCGCTTTGTCACTGGTAGAGTCCTGGCAGAGCTGTTGGAATCTATCTTGAACTTCATCTGCCCTTGCTTGATTGTCTGAACAATTGGAACTGCTCTTGCTGCTACTAGAACCAGCACTTGCAGAAGCAGAAGTGCAAGAATCGCCATGACTAGTTTTCGATTGTGTTTTGGCTGTCATGTTGCCATGCTCACGACTGAGTGTCGTGCTGTCATGGCTGGAACTGTCGCCGTTGATGTCATTGGAAACATACAAAAGCTTGCACAGAGCTCGAACTCTATCCCGGTCGTTGCTTCTGCTGTGGGAACTCTTGCTGGTAGCATTTTCCATCAAGTTTCGGTCAGATTTAGTCTTACTGAGGTCTCCGACAGCTTCTACGAAAGTACAATATTGTTCAATGCACCCAGTGCTGCTGTGAAGTCTCTCATTGGTTGCATCAATCTGGAGTTCTTGATAATGATTTCTTTCTCTTTGGCGGTGGCTTGTGGTGCGCTTTTGGCGCCGCTGCTCACTCTTTCTAAACTCTTTATTTTCTGATCCAATTGGTATCATTCTAGAGCTATGAGCGCTCATTGAAGATCTACGGGTTTGGGAGCCGTTCAAAGCTGCCTTTCTACCATGGTCGGAGGAGCTTCGGCTGCGTCGACTGCGGCTTCGTTCGCTGCGTTCACTGCGTCTGCGTTTGGTTTCCTCCATCTCTCTCGATTGGGGCATTCGAATTCAAATGCTTATTTGTAACTTTGTGAGAAACTATCGGTGTCTGGGATTTGCGCTGGGGGATGGGCAAATCTTGCAATAGCCCTGAATTGTAATGGAGTGTGACTCGCCAAAATCAGTTAAAAAGACGAAATTCGTATTTTTTCCGGAAGATACATTTAATTGGATTGCATTGGATTGGATTGCATTGAATTGGATTGAATTAGATTCCAAATAGTACTGTTATTTGTATAGTAAACTGTAATTCAATGCAATCCAATCTAATCCAATCTAATCCAATGCAATCCAATCAAATCCAATAGAGAAAAACAGCCAAAGTGAAAGATTGGCTTAGCCCACACAATTTTTACAAAAACGCTCTAACAAATTCAACACAGAGCCATGGGCAAGTTTGCTCATCCCCCTGCGGTATCGGTGGCCACTGTAGGTTCTACGTGTACTAGTAGTCTACAGCACAGCGTACTATTAGTACTCATCAGTATCTGGCTACTACCGGAGCTACCGGAGCTCTACCGGTAGTACATGAGTAGAGGTTGGAGGTTGGACGCAACACGCACCGGAATGGTGAACGTGGTGTTGCATTGTTTCGTTGTTTCGCTGGCTGGGGCATAGCGGACATTCTCTCAACCCGAAAGTCATCTTCAGAATCTACAGTGAACCATAAATATTTGTCTCCCCGATCTGTGTTTGAACATGTCTGAGACTTCTCATTAACGTAAACTCTATGTATTTCTGCGACTCGAAGTGGGTCAGAAAGCTGCCAGAACGGACTCAGAGCGTCAGAGCACAAAATTTGCTGCATTCGTCTAGCTAGCGCTTGGTGCCGACCTTACAGCACTGGTACGGTACCGTACCACACCAGAGGGAGTGACAGTCAAAAGTGGCGAGAAATATATACAGAGACTGAGTGACTGACCCACCGATGGTGGATAGAGGATAGAGGAATGCTGGTACCTGGTAGGACCCTTTGGTGCCGGACACCTGCCTGGCTTGCCAGTTGCTAGCTTGGATGCACCGCTAGGAACCAAATCATCCGAGGGCATTGCTGTATCTTTTGTGAATATACCTACCGGTAGGTACTGGTACCAGACGATGGCAGCCTACCGTCCGGTGGTCAGGGGTAACTGAATAAGTTTTGATTGCACATAGCCAAGTG